TGAAGGATTTTGACTAAATTTGGCCTGAAGCATCATTTGTAAAAGGGGATTCAATGCTGTATATAAATGGAGAGTGCCCGCCCCCCCCCCCCCTTGGGAGCAGAGGGGCAGGGCCCAATAGGGGAAAATTGAAGCAAATATTTGGAAAAGTTGCAGTGTCATATTTAATGACAAAATATTTTCCCATGGTTGCTTAATTATCCAGGTGAGCCATACAGGCCCTTTATGCCTCTTGTTAACGAAAAAAATAACTTTGACAAGTCATGTATTTCCTTTCTGTTATGTAAGTTGTTGATGACACACATGGTTACATGTCTATATATGGCAATGTATTTTACACGCGAGTTCATTCTATATCTATCGCATTAATGATTAGTCAGAGTCATGTTTGTTTTTAGTATGGGAATACTCTATGAAGAGATTTGTACATATGTAGAAGAAACTACATCATTAAACATCTTTGGGTAAAAAGTATAAACATGTACCAGATCATCTCCGAGCTCCCTTCTATTACAATTCAACATTGAGTAGGCTTTGACCACCCAAAACAGGCTCTTATGTTATCTACTGCAATTGCCTTTCTCTTTGTTTTTTCCTCCCCTCAAATACCTCTGCACTGATTTAAATAAGCATCCATGGTCAAAGACAAAACAAAATATTGAGGTGTATCGTTCCCAATCCTCAGGTGTCTAAGGGATGACTCAAACTGAAAGTAAAAATAATTCACTCAAATAGTCCAAATCTTCTCCAGACACAGAAATCCTAGAATCAGATTCCCTTATGATATGGATAGCACGTTTATCAGGTGCATTATTAGGTAATCAAGTTTAAAGAGACAGATCTCCTCAATTCCACATCACAATGTGTTCATGTAGGTCATTTATTTGTATAACCTGAACCATGCAATTGGTTTAATCACAGGCTTTGTAGTCATTATTAACGAAGAAATAATATACCTTGGTCAGCCTCCTGATGTATTGGGGGTATAACTGTCTGTGTAGTCATTATTAACAAAGTAATAATACACTTTGGTCAGCCTCCTGATGTATTTTGGGTATAGCTGTCTGTGTAGTAGTTATTAACAAAGTAATAATACACTTTGGTCAGCCTCCTGATGTATTGGGGGTATAACTGTCTGTGTAGTCATTATTAACAAAGTAATAATATACCTTGGTCAGCCTCCTGATGTATTGGGGTTATAACTGTCTGTGTAGTAGTTATTAACAAAGTAATACTATACCTTGGTCAGCCTCCTGATGTATTGGGGGTATAACTGTCTGTGTAGTAGTTATTAACAAAGTAATAATACGCTTTGGTCAGCCTCCTGATGTATTGGGGGTATAGCTGTCTGTGTAGTAGTTATTAACGAAGTAATAATACACTTTGGTCAGACTTCTGATGTATTGGGGGTATAACTGTCTGTGTAGTAGTTATTAACGAAGTAATAATATACCTTGGTCAGCCTCCTGATGTATTGGGGGTATAGCTGTCTGTGTAGTAGTTATTAACAAAGTAATAATACACTTTGGTCAGCCTCCTGATGTATTGAGGGTATAACTGTCTGTGTAGTCATTATTAACAAAGTAATAATATACTTTGGTTGGCCTCCTGATGTATTGGGGGTATAACTGTCTGTGTAGTAGTTATTAACAAAGTAATAATACACCTTGGTCAGCCTCCTGATGTATTGGGGGTATAACCGTCTGTGTAGTCATTATTAACAAAGTAATAATATACTTTGGTCAGCCTTCTGATGTATTGGGGTTAACACTGTCTGTGTAGTCATTATTAACAAAGTAATAATACACCTTGGTCAGCCTCCTGATGTATTGGGGGTATAGCTGTCTGTGTAGTAGTTATTAACAAAGTAATATTACACTTTGGTCAGCCTCCTGATGTATTGGGTGTATAACTGTCTGTGTAGTCATTATTAACAAAGTAATAATACACTTTGGTCAGCCGCCTGATGTATTGGGGGTATAACTGTCTGTGTAGTCGTTATTAACAAAGTAATAATACACTTTGGTCAGCCGCCTGATGTATTGGGGGTATAACTGTCTGTGTAGTAGTTATTAACGAAGTAATAATATACCTTGGTCAGCCTCCTGATGTAATGGGGTTAACACTGTCTATGTAGTAGTTATTAACAAAGTAATAATATACTTTGGTCAGCCTTCTGATGTATTGGGGGTATAACTGTCTGTGTAGTAGTTATTAACGAAGTAATAATATGCCTTGGTCAGCCTCCTGATGTATTGGGGGTATAGCTGTCTGTGTAGTAGTTATTAACAAAGTAATAGTATACCTTGGTCAGCCTCCTGATGTAATGGGGTTAACACTGTCTATGTAGTAGTTATTAACAAAGTAATAATATACTTTGGTCAGCCTTCTGATGTATTGGGGGTATAACTGTCTGTGTAGTCGTTATTAACAAAGTAATAATACACTTTGGTCAGCCGCCTGATGTATTGGGGGTATAACTGTCTGTGTAGTAGTTATTAACGAAGTAATAATATACCTTGGTCAGCCTCCTGATGTAATGGGGTTAACACTGTCTGAGTAGTAGTTATTAACAAAGTAATAATATACTTTGGTCAGCCTTCTGATGTATTGGGGGTATAACTGTCTGTGTAGTCATTACTAACAAAGTAATAATACACTTTGGTCAGCCTCCTGATGTATTTTGGGTATAGCTGTCTGTGTAGTAGTTATTAACAAAGTAATAATACACTTTGGTCAGCCGCCTGATGTATTGGGGGTATAACTGTCTGTGTAGTAGTTATTAACGAAGTAATAATATACCTTGGTCAGCCTCCTGATGTAATGGGGTTAACACTGTCTGAGTAGTAGTTATTAACAAAGTAATAATATACTTTGGTCAGCCTTGTGATGTATTGGGGTTAACACTGTCTGTGTAGTCATTATTAACAAAGTAATAATATACTTTGGTTGGCCTCCTGATGTATTGGGGGTATAACTGTCTGTGTAGTCGTTATTAACAAAGTAATAATACACTTTGGTCAGCCTCCTGATAAAGTAATAATATACCTTGGTCAGCCTCCTGATGTAATGGGGTTAACACTGTTTGTGTAGTAGTTATTAACAAAGTAATAATATACTTTGGTCAGCCTTGTGATGTATTGGGGTTAACACTGTCTGTGTAGTCATTATTAACAAAGTAATAATATACCTTGGTCAGCCTCCTGATGTAATGGGGTTAACACTGTCTGTGTAGTAGTTATTAACAAAGTAATAATATACTTTGGTCAGCTTGCTGATGTATTGGTTAACTCCCTTAGACCATGAATTAACAGTATTTTCTATGTAAGATTTACCTCCCTTAGACCATGAAGTAACAACTGCTTTGCATAGATTAACACAACGAATGCCATACCACCTATTGTTTATATTGTTGTAATAAATTGATAACCGTGTCATCTTTTACATAATTTTTATCTGGAAGCAGATCCATAGTTCTGTTACACTTTAACTTTAACTAAAAGCACTACATAGACACATCACCATTCAATTGTTTCAGAGATACCATGTGAATGATGATATAATAAAGGAGTCCCACATCAACAGTATAACGGCCTGTGTAAATCACCTAAATATTCAAACAATCATGGCAAAATATTTACAGTAGTATTTTAAATCTTTCCATATTCCGGGCTCCGTCTCTCTGGTCCTAAGGTGGGTTTTTTAGATCTGTATGCATGTAGATATAGTTAAAAGTGTTGGGACCTCAAACGTTTCCATATTAAACCCTAATATTGGTAGCAAGCTTGTTTTCTTTAATCCATGCCCAGCAATTGACATATGTTCACATTCAAGTTATTACCATACTACAAGTTTATAAATGGAGAAATATAGAGAAACATTTGAATAGCAACATTTAGCTTGAATGGTGACACCGAATCTTTGTATGACTTTCTATATATAGCAACCTTCAAACCCTGAAACACAAAGATGTCAGAGGTATTATCATGCCGGACTTTTGTATAAATTTTGATAAAAATCCATCAGGAAATAAAGTTGTTAGACTGATGACACTGAATTGGTTGATTATTTTCTATCAATGGAAATGGTGATCTTGGCCTTGTCCTTTGAATCCTGAAACCATCTAAGGTATTTGAAATACTTAAAATATGTATAACTTTTTATGAAAATCTGTTAGGAAATAAAGTAGTTAGAGTGAGGACAATGAATCAGTTGATGATTTTCTACAGCAACAGTGACCTTGGCCTTGACCTTGACACCCTAAAACACAGTCATGTCAGAAGTATTCTCATACTCGACCTTTGTATAATGTTTTATCAAAATCTGTCAAAGAATGAAGTTGCTAGAGTGCTAACATTGAATCGCGATAGCAGGGATACCTGCACACGATCCCCTCTCCCCAGTTTATGGCGGGGGCATAAAAATAGTCCTTAAATCCCAGGATTACTGTCATTGTAAGTTATGTCCCAGGATTACTGTCATTGTAAGTTATGTCCCAGGATTAGTGTCATTGTAAGTGATGTCCCAGGATTACTGTCATTGTAAGTTATGTCCCAGGATTACTGTCATTGTAAGTGATGTCTCAGGATTAGTCATTGTAAGTGATGTCCCGGGATTACTGTCATTGTAAGTTATGTCCCATGATTACTGTCATTGTAAGTTATGTCCCAGGACTACTGTCATTGTAAGTTATGTCCCAGGATTATTGTCATTGTAAGTGATGTCCCAGGATTACTGTCAATGTAAGTGATGTCCCAGGATTACTGTCATTGTAAGGTATGTCCCAGGATTACTGTCATTGTAAGTGATGTCCCAGGATTACTGTAATTGTAAGTGATGTCTCAGGATTAGTCATTGTAAGTGATGTCCCAGGATTACTGTCATTGTAAGTTATGTCCCAGGATTACTGTCTCTGTGGGTCATATTTATTGAAGTGGCCCAAAATCACTGAGGCATGAGAGAGCAGGCCTGATGCAGGAAATAGAACACAACAAGAAATATAGATTTCTGACTTTATTTCAGTTTTTTCCACAGTGTCACCATGGAATGGAGGATAAGTTAATATTGCATTTTGTGACGCAGAAGTCGCATAATAAGAATAATGAAATACTTCTCAGTTTAATAATAACGACTTATGTTGCCAACACATGGTAATTCCTTGTGCTGTTAAAATAATAACAATGAACTAACATAACTTATACAATGTATAATGTCTATTCTCCAGCGTAGCACCATTACAGTCTAACTGGACTTATGTATAATGTCTATTCTCCAGCGTAGCACCATTACAGTCTAACTGGACTTATGTATAATGTCTATTCTCCAGCGTAGCACCATTACAGTCTAACTGTATGTGCCTGGAGAATGGACCACATCCTCACTCACCTGTAATATACCTTTGGGATCCAAAAGTAACATTTATGTTCATACTGTCGGGCCCTTGGATCCAAGAGTTCTAACAACAAGGAGACTGTCTCACCCTTTGATCAAAGAGTGCAACTATCGGTAAATCTGAGACTTTTTTTGGTCTTCAGCTAGCATAACTTTCCATGAAAAATGTTCACATGGAATAAACACTTGTCCAAATCAATACACTGAACTGTTGGTGTCCTTACACAAAGTCTCCCTCCACTCAGTAAATAAATTGAACACATTGGTGTCCACACGTTATATCTCACTCCCCATCCTTCCTCATCTGACAACAGTTAGAACAGTTAATAACAATGTACACAGAACCTACATTCATCTGACACTGGAGCCAAGGGAGGACACTGACCTATCTCTGATGTGGCAGGGGCAGTTAATAGCAATAGATAATTGTTTGTTTGTGTGTCAGAAGCAGATAACTGAATGTCTAGTGGATCAAGGGCAGATAACTGAATATCTAGTAGATCAAGGGCAGATAACTGAATGTCTAGTAGATAAAGGGCAGTTAACTGAATATCTAGAAGATCAAGGGCAGAAAACTGAATGTCTAGTGGATCAAGGGCATATAACTGCTTGTCTAGTGAATCAGGAGCAGATAACTACTTGTTTAGTGAATCAGGGCAGATAACTACTTGTTTAGTGAATCAGGGGCAGATAACTACTTGTTTAGTGAATCAGGAGCAGATAACTGCTTGTCTAGTGAATCAGGAGCAGATAACTGCTTGTCTTGTGAATCAGGAGCAGATTAAATAATTACTGCAAGCCTAGTATATCAGGGATGTATTTCAAAACTAATGAAATGTCCAGGAATGTTTAGTGACATTGAGGGCATATAACTGCAAGGTTGATGTATCTGGAATATATTTCAAAACTAATGACATGTCAGAGGCAAATGAACTTATTGCAAGCATTTAGTGAATCAGGGGCAGATAACTACATGTGTAGCACATCAGAGTCTATGCACAGTATATGTTTTTGAAATTATCAAGGGTAGATAACTGCATATCTTCAGGTGATGAGGTAAGTTTGTCAAATGCAAATAACTACAACTAGCCAACTCAGGATTTGCTTAGTATGGTGGATAGAGCACAAAGCACAATGCTGTGCATTTCAACTGGTCCAACACCCCAATACACCATTAAGTTAATATAAAATACAGAACAATAAAAATCCATCTCTATATTATGTCAGCTTGCTGAAAGATAAAATATTGGAATAGGTCTGGGTAAAACGATTGTTACGCATATATTATATAGGAAAACATCATTGATTTAACTTCAATGTTTACTTAGGGAGATTTGATATTACAGAAAGTACCTAAGAATACATAATGCCCGTCTATGTCATAGAAAATAAGAATACCATAATGGTTCTAAACATTTCTACAGTAAACACTTTTATAAACACTGTTCTACCTCGTATATATAAGGCTATCACACCGGACATGTCACATACATGTAGAGATGTGGAATTAGTTGGAAATATTTGAGCAATATGACAATGTAATATTACAAATGTCACCAAGTACTAAATTATTGTATAATATTGATACTGGATTTCATATAAAGCTGGTGAGTTAATTGATCAAAAGATTTTCTGATATTTGGTTTGTCACCAGTGTAAAGATTAAACTTCAGCAAGTATCTTGATAAATTTCCGAGGAGATAAAATCTCTAAGTAAAGAGTAAGTGATTTTGTAAGGGAGGCGGAGCTTAATTTGTAACTTGTCAATTTAAATTGTAATTTATTAGGACATAAGTTCGGTTATAAAATCAGCTTATCATTGAAGAGGATTGGAATTCCTTAATCTTTATAACTTTAAAATTTCTAATAGTTATTAAAGAGAACATTTGTTTTGTTACTTTCAAATCTAAATTACACTATATCAGAGAAAAGATGTCCCACTTAGTAGGTTACTTGTAAATCTAAATCATTAGAGAAATTATCTTTATCCTTTTAACTCAGAAAAATTGAATTCCCAGCTTATTGAATTGTAATACAGGTTAAGTCATTAATCAGGACTAATTGGTTTCTAGGAACCCTCTTGACACCCCCACACTATACAATGCAAGTTATAACACAGTAAATGTTATCATTTCTGACTTAAACATTGTATTGTCTGGCTCTTTCCTAACATGAGGTAGTTTTATAATGAACATAAACACGATTATGATTGTCACTTCACCATGGCAGCACTGTCGGCACCGATTGGTCACAAAAATGTACGTTTTCCATTAACTTACGTATGAATCATCAAGGAACGTCCTACAGCCTGCACAGAGATGTACACTGCTCCAGGAAAACAATGACCAACTTGACAAATATGTATGTAAAAAGGGGAGATAATAAATGCAGAACCTTACATATTTTAGAAATAAAATAGTTGCAAAAGAAAGCACTGATGAGGATATTAAATGAAGTATAAAGGATGTTTCTGGTTATGCTTGTAGTAGAATCTAATATGTTTGAAAAGAAATTAATTTTAATTATTGATTAAATAAATAATTTTACAAAATAGAATGCAAATGGTTGACACATGTAGCTAGAGAACTTATAACTGAATCTTTGCCTACACATTACTGTATAAAACATTCAATACCCTTCATTTGAGCTACCCAATCAGAAAACTTGTTACAGAAACAGGATTTATATAATCTCTTCTGTAATTGGATGATCAAACTATACGGACACCAGAGTGTCCACATATAACAATATTCACTGGCCAGTGGAAACAAAACGAGAGAAACACTCTTGGTAAACAGACACATTACCTTCAGAGTCATTCAGTAATCGTACACACATTTACTCCGATACCAAGGTCATTCAGTAATCTTACACATTTACACCGATACCAAGGTCATTCAGTAATCGTACACAATTACACCGATACCAAGGTCATTCAGTAATAGTACACATTTACTCTGATACCAAGGTCATTCAGTAATCTTACACATTTACACCGATACCAAGGTCATTCAGTAATCGTACACATTTACTCCGATACCAAGGTCATTCAGTAATCGTACACATTTACTCCGATACCAAGGTCATTCAGAAATTGTACACACATTTACACCGATACCAAGGTAATTCAGTAATCACATTAAATCATTCTCACACTTGTAAGGACTTTATTTTTCATATATAGCACCATATTCCATACACAATAAACAGCACATTATCCCACAGTTAAGATCTGAAGACATTCAATCAAAGATCATGATCATGACCTCATAAACTTTTTTTTTGTACCACATTCATTATTGCACTGAGCCTTCCGAAGGCATTCAAACAATTACATGCTAATAAACTATTATCTGACCTTGACCCCTGATTGAACATTATGACCTTGATCTGTAATGGATTTTTTCTTATGTTGATCCTTATGGAACCTTTTGACCTTGGCCCCTGATTGAACATTTTCTGATTTTGTCCTTTGATTGTGGACATTTTTAACATCTGTGATTGAACATTTTCTGACCTTTACATTTGATTGGATTTTTCTGACCTTGACCCCTGATTGGACATGTTTTTCCTTTGACCCTTGATTGAACATTATCAGTATGATTATACCAGAAAAACAACCAGATTAAGTCTGAGCTAGGGAACACTAGCAAGTATTCAATGGTTGTGTAAGTGTTATTAATAATTAATATAAATAATCAAAAAATAGCAAAAAAATGGGTATTTTACCTATTTTGAACAGGAGTATTCTTGTACTGTAGTATATTGACTTAATTTCATGCTCTGGTTATAACCATTATTTCTTTGATGTTGATTATTTATGGGTCTAAATAATGAACAAAAACCAAAAAGACATAAATGCAGACAGTGTCAATAAATTGAAATTACAATAATTCATACCCGCATTATACATCTTTTTTATATATAGCTGATGAAATTTCAATTAAACAATAAAGAATTTGGCCCTGTTTATTGAGATAGCTATCACTGCCACTGTTCTTTGGGGAGGATGATGTTGGATGGGACATAAGGAGGACGATGCCACATAAGTCACAGAGTCACGGACTATACTGAGGATGATGCCACATAGGTCACGGACTATACTGAGGATGATGCCACATAAGTCACAGACTATACTGAGGTTGATGCCACATAAGCCACGGACTATACTGAGGATGATGCCACATAAGTCACGGACTATACCGAGGATGATCCCACATAAGTCACGGACTATACTGAGGATGATGCCACATAAGTCACAGACTATACTGAGGATGATGCCACATAAGTCACGGACTATACCGAGGATGATGCCACGTAAGTCACGGACTATACTGCATTGACAGAGTTGTAATGTTCTTCATCATCCAGTGGAACAGTCAAGTAGCCTCCTGAAAGAAAAAAAATGATGTTAAAATCTATTTCGCAAATCAATGAATGCAAGATGCTTTAATGTAAACATTTCCAGATAACAAGCTTTAAACATTTCTTTAGCAAGCCACTCACAAATTTTCTGAAAATATCACAATTTCTTTTTTAATAGACAATCAAGTCTGTCAACAAATGAAACATGACCAAAGGTTTATTTTATGTCAATAGCACAGTAGCCTCAACAACAATAAAAAAAGAACTTTGAACCTACCTTCTTCAGAGCACACCACCATTGAAGGGTGAGAAGCTGTGTGGTCGCTATGACAACTATCGCATGTTTGTTGCCAGGGGCAATACCCATGAGCCTCTGGAAACATGTCTCTAGGAGATAGAAGGCGTGTTAGCCTCTTGCTAATAATACTAAAATCCAGCTGTTTAGCCACTGGTCTAGGGGCTCCTGGAGTTAACTTGTTTATTGGTGAAGGTTTGGACTCCTCTAGCTTATTGCTAATGTTGTAGGGATTATTTGGTTTTCCAGCTATTAATAAAGGTGACTGTTGTGAAGCATCACAATTGGAATACAACTCGTCTTCTGGCAAAAAACTTGTGTTTTTGTTTTGATCACATGATTGTTTGTGCACCATCACAGTATTTGTACTGGCCCTAGCCTCAACCTCGGTCTCATTCACCTCGCACTTTTTGTGTCTTTCAGGTAAAGGTCGTCCATAACTATCCTTTATAATGATGTGACTAGCATCAGAATACATGTTACTACAGTGTGAAGTATCCACCAATGTCTCACTGGCCAACATACTTGAGTTGTCTCCCTTAGCACACATTTTCACCGTTTCCTGGCTACTAGCACAGTTTTCACATAAAATTTCCTTGGAAGAATGTACACTATCACACCCACTGAGCTCGCTGAGGTTGAGCGAAGATTCACTATTACATACACATCGACTTTCTGCATTTAGGGATTTTTTTTCACAAAACACACGATTTCCATGATTTATCTCCCCTGAACACAATTTACAGTCACATATTTCCGCAGTGTTTGCGTGCGTCGTAATGTCTGGTAATGAGTTGTGATCCGAGCTGCCATCTGTACACATTTGGTCGGGTGCCCCACCCCAGAAAATATTGGATTCGCAGCTGCTGGCATCACTATAGTCGCGAATATCACTGCTCCCATATGTACTGTGGTTGCTGTCGAGGATGTTGGCATTTCGACACAGCTCACACTCTAGACTACTACTACTGGGATTTCTGTCCGAACCACTACTACTGCAGCTTCCATATTGTGCTGTCACACTCAAGTCCCGCCCACTCCCGCTAAACTCAGGTTCACTCTCACATACCCCTGGCCGTGGGTACTTGCACTGTGTTGATGTGTGGCCAGTGTTGAAGGGTGAGATGTGATACGACCTGGTCTTGGTGTGACGTCTACACTGCTCGCCCCCCGCCACACCTCTTCCTCCATACACAGACATACACTGTGAGTAAGATATCCCTGAGTTATATATAGTTGTAGTCACATAGGGGGTGCTACTGTACCCTAACCTGTGAGCGGAATGATACTGTGAACGGGTGTGAGGAGGGCTACAACAAGGGGCCACAGCCTGGGCATAGTGCACATTCTGGTAGTGTTCACTGGACCCTGGTGCACGCTTACTAATGACTCCTGAAATGTTTGGATGAAACTCGCGTAAATATGAACTACATGATGATGGTGATGATCCAAGAGTGCCCTCACAAGAGGGACAGCCACGGTGGAGCAGCCTTCGAGCTGAGCGAGAGTCTCTACTGGAGCGAACATAATGAAGATACTCTGTGTGAGGAAGTTGTTGGTAGACAGAAGTGTCACCACCGTGCACCTCGTAGGAACTGTTAGCAGGTATATCATACTGCCTTTCGTGTCGACTCGGCCGAGAAGAAGAATGGGTCGGAGGTTCGTTCCGAGTCCTGACAGGCTCCTCCTGGACCACAGAACTCTCAGGCTGAGCTGTAATACAAAGTGACCATTTATTAACTTGATCTTACCTATCATCTTATTTAGTTATCAACACATCTTCAAATCTCCAGTCAACCTGTTCTCCTTTAATACTGTTCTTAAACCAGTGTATCTTTGTCATCATTACTGTGTAAATTGTTAAGATCATAAAAAAATTCACGTACATTTTCTGTCATACAAATTAAAACTGCCTGTATCCATTGAAGTCTGCTTCATCTTTTGATTTGTTTTCATTTAAATTCTTTCCAAGTTCAGGTACATTTAACATTATAGTAAATATAGTGTCATGTTATTGAAGTAATAGGACTATTTCTTGTTGTTGGTCTCAGGCCTTTTTGCCCACAAATCATCATGCTCCTCAGTTTGATTTTTACTGATCTATTAAGACATCACTGCATATGATAGTGAAAAGAGTTTTCTGTGGTTTTTATAGATTTTGTGAATGACTGGTTTATATCACTATGATATAGTAACATAATGACTGGTTTATATCACTATGATATAGTAACATAATGACTGGTTTATATCACTATGATATAGTAACATAATGACTGGTTTATATCACTATGATATAGTAACATAATGACTGGTTTATATCACTATGATATAGTAACATAATGACTGGTTTATATCACTATGATATAGTAACATAATGACTGGTTTATATCACTATGATATAGTAACATAATGACTGGTTTATATCACTATGATATAGTAACATAATGACTGGTTTATATCACTATGATATAGTAACATAATGACTGGTTTATATCACTATGATATAGTAACATAATGACTGGTTTATATCACTATGATATAGTAACATAATGACTGGTTTATATCACTATGATATAGTAACATAGTGACTGGTTTATATCACTATGATATAGTAACAGTACAGCGCTTCTTCACGTAGGTTCTGGAAAGATTTTGGTTCTCCTGGACGATGTACAATACCCGAGGCGAATGGTACTAGTTTAAAAACGATAATGGCAGTAGAGCATTGTCAACACAATGGAATAAAGTTAACAGGTTTGGTTTGTACTGGTAAAATAAAACAGTTATAGACTGGGTACATGTGTGTTCTCAGCACTCCCTTCAGGGAACATATAAAGACTTTTTACCTGGTGCCCTTTCTATAACTCAGTCGCATATGTAGTCTGACAGTTTTATTCTTTATTCAAAGACTTACATTGTTTTGAGCAATCAATCATAATTCAACAAATGATCTATCTAATATGGCTAACTTTTCTGGTTTCCTGTGAATATTTAATTCCGGCTGAAGCGTATACGTACCTACAATGTTGAAGAGACACAAGGGACAAGTTCTGTGTGTGACCAGCCAGGGGTCGACACAAAGACGATGAAACTCGTGGGAACATGGCAGTACTCGTAGGCTCTACAAACAACATCATCAGAGGATCATAAACGACAGTGTCAGTCAGAGGGTCACTAGAGACAGTGTCAGTCAGAGGGTCACAAACGCCAATGTCAGTCAGAGGGTCACAAACGACAGTGTCAGTCAGAGGGTCATAAACAAAGGCGTCAGTCAGAGGGTCACAAACGACAGTGTCAGTCAGAGGGTCACAAACGACAGTGTCAGTCAGAGGGTCACAAACGCCAGTGTCAGTCATAGGGTTACAAACAGAAGTGTCAGTCAGAGGGTCACAAACAGAAGTGTCATTTAGAGGTCACAAACAACTGTGTGGGTTAGCTTATGGGTTACAGGTCAACATCAAGGTAGATCACCAATAGTTTGGCATTAATTCCCTTTGAAGAATAGACTTGTTAAATGTTAACAAAAGATCTGATTTTTCAAGTAATAAGATTTCACTGCATTTTAAGAATACTACTTTGAGATTCTGCTGTAAATTATACACAATCCACCATCAACAGTTAGGAGACATTAACATTCACTGAATTATTCATAACAATATCACATGATTTTCCTATGGAAAACATTGCAGACAATTCCAAAATGTCATTGACTTTATGAAGACACAGCTGGTTGCTTAGTTACCTGTCCCTCGGTGTACTCGTCCAGACAGATGGCACAGCCCTCACAGCCAGACGTATTACTGCAGATGTCCGACACCGGGGTTTGGACCCTCAGGGACTTCCCCGATGACGACCCTTTGAATTTTCTCGTTTCCAGTTTGGATATTGCACGTTTTGCCAGCGCAGACATTGAAAGCTATAATGAAAAAAAAATGTTCATTAGGATTAACTTGGAAACATGATCCCTTAAGATTTTAACTTAACTTTGGACTAAACTGTTTGACATTCAAGAATTTTCGCCATTAAAATGAAAATTTCCAAACACTGTCAGATTGTTAAATGTTTTGTGGCCATGTAACAGACCAAAAGTATGTGTGAGATTCTTATGGAACAGTGTATTAGTTGGAATGATAGCCAGAATTATACCATTGTTCAGGAGAACCCTCCCAATTATTGTATCGTAGTTTTTTTACATAGGTCTTGATATCAACTTACCTGTTGCTCTCGATGCCTCAATTTTAACTGAAAATATAAAAAGAAAATCTTAAAACTTTCATTTCTTTTTCTTCTTGGTACAATTTGGTATAGAATACTAGAGAAATGTTTCTGTCATAGACAATAAAGTATTATAGGTATTATAGTACTATTGCTCTACGAGGGTAAAAGCTGGCTTGTGTAATGAGTAAAGGGACCACTGATACAGATGTACTATGAAAATTGCAGGAAAAAAATCAAAATATACAAATCTATCAAATTTGCTTAATCTATATTACTGTAATAGAAATAAAACAGCCTTTGCTACCTCCATCCTACCTCAAAACCATACCTAGGATTGTAATAGTTGAGAGTGTTGACACAAGTTATAACTAAGATCGTTTGTATTGACAAGTATCATACTTTTAGATTTTTTGCGTCAATCTTACCTTTAGGATGACAATGATACAGATGATACAGAAGAGGATGAAAACAGCGACAAAAATGCCCATGTCAAAATATTCTTTGGTATTTGTCTGAAATAGATAAAGAAGAATTACATGCATGCTTGGAAATATATATCATTAACCCAGGTCATATGTGCTAGTTTAAAGATTAAATCTTATGATCTTATGATTTTATCTTTTAGTTTTCAACACCAATATTTCACAGAACACATTTCAAAACATATAAGTATTTGAATCATAATCTTGCAAGAAGATGGAGTTTCTGCAGATATTTAACCCCCATTAACAATGCGAGCTGCTGGGCCAGTACTACTCACCTGAGGATCGCTGGGCTGGTGAGGGTGTAGGGATCGGATCCTGGCTCTCGCTTTGTTAGTTGTCTCTTCTATAATACGCATCAACTCCACTGCCTCTAGTCCGTGGATCACAATGACTGGGCGGTCAAGTTGATCATCAATCCGAGAGTTAAGCTAAAAAACATACATTCCACAAGTCCACAATATGATAATAATATCTACAGATTAATTTGTGTGGCAGTTTTATTATTTTCACTAAACATTAAATTTGTGAATTCAAAATGATAATAAATTTTCTGGTAAAGTAATATTGCATACCTAACAATTTGTAGTTAAGTAATACTACTGGTACATATTATACCCAACAATATCTAGTAAAGTAACACTACATACCCAACAACCTCTAGTAAAGTAACACTATATACCCAACAATATTAAGTAAAGTAACACTACATACCCAACAATACCTAGTAAAGTAACACTACACACCCAACAATCTCTAGTAAAGTAACCCTACACACCCAACAATCTCTAGTTAAGTAACACTACACACCCAACAATATCTAGTAAAGTAACACCACATACCCAACAATACCTAGTAAAGTGACACTATATACCCAACAATCTCTAGTAAAGTAACACTACACACCCAACAATCTCTAGTAAAGTAACACTACACACCCAACAATATCTAGTAAAGTAACACTATACACCCAACAATATCTAGTTAAGTAACTCTTTATACCCAACAATCTCTAGTAAAGTAACACTACACACCCAACAATATCTAGTTACGTTACTCTATATACCCAACAATATCTAGTAAAGTAACACTACATACCCAACAATCTCAAGTTAAGTAACACTTCACACCCAACAATATCTAGTTAAGTTACTCTATATACCCATGCAACAATCTTGAAACCCCAAATTGAACACTGTATTAATTAACTCAACCCTGCATGAACTCATCCCTAAAGAAACTCAACATTGCACAGTCAGGTATATCCCGGGTGGAGGAGTCTGAGAAGGGGAGAAGTCATGGTGGAGGAGTCTGAGAAGGGGAGAAGTCATGGTGGAGGAGTCTGAGAAGGGGAGAAGTCATGGTGGAGGAGTCTGAGAAGGGGAGAAGTCATGGTGGAGGAGTCTGAGAAGGGGAGAAGTCATGGTGGAGGAGTCTGAGAAGGGGAGAAGTCATGGTGGAGGAGTCTGAGAAGGGGAGAAGTCATGGTGGAGGAGTCTGAGAAGGGGAGAAGTCATGGTGGAGGAGTCTGAGAAGGGGAGAAGTCATGGTGGAGGAGTCTGAGAAGGGGAGAAGTCATGGTGGAGGAGTCTGAGAAGGGGAGAAGTCATGGTGGAGGAGTCTGAGAAGGGGAGAAGTCATGGTGGAGGAGTCTGAGAAGGGGAGAAGTCATGGTGGAGGAGTCTGAGAAGGGGAGAAGTCATGGTGGAGGAGTCTGAGAAGGGGAGAAGTCATGGTGGAGGAGTCTGAGAAGGGGAGAAGTCATGGTGGAGGAGTCTGAGAAGGGGAGAAGTCATGGTGGAGGAGTCTGAGAAGGGGAGAAGTCATGGTGGAGGAGTCTGAGAAGGGGAGAAGTCATGGTGGAGGAGTCTGAGAAGGGGAGAAGTCATGGTGGAGGAGTCTGAGAAGGGGAGAAGTCATGGTGGAGGAGTCTGAGAAGGGGAGAAGTCATGGTGGAGGAGTCTGAGAAGGGGAGAAGTCATGGTGGAGGAGTCTGAGAAGGGGAGAAGTCATGGTGGAGGAGTCTGAGAAGGGGAGAAGTCATGGTGGAGGAGTCTGAGAAGGGGAGAAGTCATGGTGGAGGAGTCTGAGAAGGGGAGAAGTCATGGTGGAGGAGTCTGAGAAGGGGAGAAGTCATGGTGGAGGAGTCTGAGAAGGGGAGAAGTCATGGTGGAGGAGTCTGAGAAGGGGAGAAGTCATGGTGGAGGAGTCTGAGAAGGGGAGAAGTCATGGTGGAGGAGTCTGAGAAGGGGAGAAGTCATGGTGGAGGAGTCTGAGAAGGGGAGAAGTCATGGTGGAGGAGTCTGAGAAGGGGAGAAGTCATGGTGGAGGAGTCTGAGAAGGGGAGAAGTCATGGTGGAGGAGTCTGAGAAGGGGAGAAGTCATGGTGGAGGAGTCTGAGAAGGGGAGAAGTCATGGTGGAGGAGTCTGAGAAGGGGAGAAGTCATGGTGGAGGAGTCTGAGAAGGGGAGAAGTCATGGTGGAGGAGTCTGAGAAGGGGAGAAGTCATGGTGGAGGAGTCTGAGAAGGGGAGAAGTCATGGTGGAGGAGTCTGAGAAGGGGAGAAGTCATGGTGGAGGAGTCTGAGAAGGGGAGAAGTCATGGTGGAGGAGTCTGAGAAGGGGAGAAGTCATGGTGGAGGAGTCTGAGAAGGGGAGAAGTCATGGTGGAGGAGTCTGAGAAGGGGAGAAGTCATGGTGGAGGAGTCTGAGAAGGGGAGAAGTCATGGTGGAGGAGTCTGAGAAGGGGAGAAGTCATGGTGGAGGAGTCTGAGAAGGGGAGAAGTCATGGTGGAGGAGTCTGAGAAGGGGAGAAGTCATGGTGGAGGAGTCTGAGAAGGGGAGAAGTCATGGTGGAGGAGTCTGAGAAGGGGAGAAGTCATGGTGGAGGAGTCTGAGAAGGGGAGAAGTCATGGTGGAGGAGTCTGAGAAGGGGAGAAGTCATGGTGGAGGAGTCTGAGAAGGGGAGAAGTCATGGTGGAGGAGTCTGAGAAGGGGAGAAGTCATGGTGGAGGAGTCTGAGAAGGGGAGAAGTCATGGTGGAGGAGTCTGAGAAGGGGAGAAGTCATGGTGGAGGAGTCTGAGAAGGGGAGAAGTCATGGTGGAGGAGTCTGAGAAGGGGAGAAGTCATGGTGGAGGAGTCTGAGAAGGGGAGAAGTCATGGTGGAGGAGTCTGAGAAGGGGAGAAGTCATGGTGGAGGAGTCTGAGAAGGGGAGAAGTCATGGTGGAGGAGTCTGAGAAGGGGAGAAGTCATGGTGGAGGAGTCTGAGAAGGGGAGAAGTCATGGTGGAGGAGTCTGAGAAGGGGAGAAGTCATGGTGGAGGAGTCTGAGAAGGGGAGAAGTCATGGTGGAGGAGTCTGAGAAGGGGAGAAGTCATGGTGGAGGAGTCTGAGAAGGGGAGAAGTCATGGTGGAGGAGTCTGAGAAGGGGAGAAGTCATGGTGGAGGAGTCTGAGAAGGGGAGAAGTCATGGTGGAGGAGTCGGAGAAGGGGAAAAGTCATGGTGGAGGAGTCTGAGAAGGGGAGAAGTCATGGTTGAGGAGTCTGAGAAGGGGAGAGGTCAGGTTAAGATTAATACCTCGCTTGCTGCACTTGGTACCTCTGTGATGTCAAATACAACAGCTGTTGCCCCTCTGTGTATAGCCTTCCTTGCCTGAAAATAAAACAGAAGCTTTACTCAGTAAAGTGTCCTACTTAGAACTCTTCTGATCCATTCTTGTAACAAAATATCAAAATGTATCAAATAGAACTCTACTTTGCTAGCCAGGAATAAGGCAAGGTGCCTATGTTGCTTGTAAACTGTTTACACTTTTCATATGGATTATCTCCCTTCTCCCATTACATAAAACTTGTCATTTACATTAAAATGTGTTCGAGGAGCAAGGTAAGAAAGTGCATGACTGTCATAAAATGTAATGCAGCATCCACATTTTTTGACAGACAGACAGACAGACAGACAGACAGACTTATAACATAGAGTATTCCACCTTTAGCAAGCTTATAACATTAGAATGTACCCTCTTGGCCCAGTGATAATCCAGTCAAAATCCCCTCAGCCCTTCTTGATGAGTAGTATTTTAAAGAAAATTGACAGATGGAGGATGAACACAGCACCATGCTATGTGGTTGTCGGTAAAATTTACTTTAAAATCAAAACACCATGATGAACAAATCACTGGACAATTGGTATAGGCACATTTCACGTGACAACAGACATAGTTTATTTAGATATTTCAACCTAATTATATTATCACTTTGATTTTGTTTTATCCTAATTATGGTATGTTTTTATGATTATCTTCTCTCCATAAAGAGACACCAAAGAAAAAATACATGAAGATTTGAAATACACTTTAAGGTTGTGTCCAGATGTCTATGATTACTGTGTCCGAAGAACTATGGTCAGCTGTTGACCATATCTCTCAAACAGGTCCCAACGCTACACACTGTTGCCACCAAAAATTTAATGTGACCCCAGGTCATTCCACACTCACAAAGCTCCTAAAACTCATTATCACTGCCATGAAAACTAGGCTGACCGTGACTTCAGTAAAAAAAACTTATTTGACCAGAGGTCATTGTGGGCAGACTGGGCCATCACTGTCAACCATCAAGGGAGATCACACACTTTAAAGTTTCCGCTCCATTTTCCATCACAAGCGTTCCAGCTTCTGGTTGTCGCTCTGATTTCCGCCACTAGACCTAAATCTTGTCAAGTCAAAGAGACAAAGATTTTTTTTCAAAGCTGGCCCGTCAACACTACGGGATGATTTATCGTGTTTACAAGCTTTTTTACGCATGTTCTCTATAACTACTGGAGTTTTCTGTATGAAGGATCACTACCATGTACATGTACTCATTTTTTTTAATACTTGTCATTTTAAACACACCTTTTTATAAAGAATGGCCGATTCCTTACCCTTTGTTCGTGGTAACTTAACGGGATTCAATTTTCTAGATGAAGGATGATTTGTTTTTTTATCTTGTAATTTCTGCTCTATCTAACACAATTGCTTCAGAATAAAATTGTTGTTTTGTATAACGGCAAAGCCACACACCGTCCATATTTGCCACACAGAGTAGGACTATCAGATTCACTCAGGTCTTCATGTGGATTTGTAGTCTACAAGGGAATCATCCTATAGGCCGGATCATGTAGTCTACAATGGAATCATCCTATAGGCCTGATCATACACTCAGGTCTTTATGTGGAATTTTAGTCTACAAGGTAATCATCCTATAGGCCTGATCATACACTCGGGTCTTCATGCGGAATTGTGGTCTACAAGGGAATCATCCTATAGGACTGATCATACAGTCGGGTCTTCCTGTGGATTTGTAGTATACAAGGGAATCATCCTATAGGCCGGATCATGTAGTCTACAATGGAATCATCCTATAGGCCTGATCATCCACTCAGGTCTTCATGTGGATTTGTAGTCGACAAGGGAATCATCCTATAGGTCTGATCATACACTCAGGTCTTTATGTGGAATTTTAGTCTACAAGGTAATCATCCTATAGGACTGATCATACACTCGGGTCTTCATGTGGAATTGTAGTCTACAAGGGAATCATACTATAGGCCTGATCATACACTCGGGTCTTCCTGTGGATTTGTAGTCTACAAGTGAATCATCCTATAGGCCTGATCATACACTCAGTTCTTCATGTGGATTTGTAGTCTACACGTGAATCATCCTATAGGCCTGATCATGCACTCAGGTCTTCATGTGGAATTGTAGTCTACAAGGGAATCATACTATAGGCCTGATCATACACTCGGGGCTTCATGTGGAATTTTAGTCTACAAGGGAATCATCCTATAGGACTGATCATACACTCGGGTCTTCCTGTGGATTTGTAGTCTACAAGGGAATCATCCTATAGGCCGGATCATGTAGTCTACAAGGGAATCATCCTATAGGCCTGATCATGTAGTCAACAAGGGAATCATCCTATAGGCCTGATCATGTAGTCTACAAGGGAATCATCCTATAGGCCTGATCATACACTCAGGTCTTCATGTGGAATTTTAGTCTACAGGGGAATCATCCTATAGGCCGGATCATGAAGTCTACAAGGGAATCATCCTATAGGACTGATCATACACTCAGGTCTTCATGTGGAATTTTAGTCTACAGGGGAATCATCCTATAGGCCTGATGATACACTCAGGTCTTCATGTGGAATTTTAGTCTACAAGGGAATCATCCTATAGGCCGGATCATTTTGAAATTTCAGCTTTAAAGCAAAAAATAATTCTGACAAACTATCTAGTACTTCCACATAGGTAATTCAAACTACCCCATACTCCTATAATTAACACGTCTAATTGAGGTGTATAAAAAACCTGCGATTTAAGCACAGTCTATATATAGCTATCTAATTCAATTGATAGATCAGCATTTTAGACAAATTTGACACCATCAGGAAAACGTACTTCTAATGGTATACCCCCGGTAGGCATGTAAACCTTAACCCATTTTTTCATTTCCTTTAAACTTCAAATTTTAAAGTTCAAATAACAAACAGCTGTTAATAATCATATATAGACAGGCTAGAATGTCTATTTCACACTCAAATATGAAGATATTTCCAGCAATTTTAATATCAATAACTTAATGCATTCTGAGCTGAAATATTATTATAGATAATAAGATAATGATATAAATGACACGTCTAACATGACGTGTTGTACTTGTACATACCTGTGTATTTCACACCTGGACTCCATAATTATATTGTAATTGGTTTAAATCTTTCAGTCATTTTCTTGAACATCTTAAATTAGTCTTTTAGAAGCTTTACAAAAAAAGTTCAAAAGGATTTTGTTGACAGATGAAACTTGCCCGAATTCCTGTTTGTACAAGTTTGATGTTGTACATATAATTGGTCAATCAAACTCTTTCATCTCTATTCCAAATTGAAATCTATATATGACCGCACAGACAGTTTAACACTGACTGAAATAAAAAGACTTTGATCTTGTTGATATGCAAATGTATGATAAATAATAATATTTATCAATTTTAAGAAATAATTCTCAGAATAATATATTAAAACACATCTGATCATTTGCAAAACAATCAAAAACAGCACTTCTCCTAACACAAATACAGCCCACTCCCTCTGGTACCTCCACATGTACATAGAAAACAGCATGTGCATCCCCATCCATTCCATCCCTCCTCCAGGTATACCTAGATTTACAGGTATATATACTGTACACCTATATGTGTGGACACCTGTATTATACCTGTACTGACAGATACCTATACCTCTACCTGTATGTGTGGACACCTGTATTATACCTGTACTGACAGATACCTGTTTACGGTACCTAACCATGCCTACTCCACACATAATGCATTACCCCAACAATAGGATCTGACAGGAAAAATGAAATTTAAAACCTCCAGACATTTTAATGAAAGCGTGTATCACATCTAGTGATGAAAACGGATCATAAAATAGAGATATTGGAGGTGTGTTGACATAGGGGAGGTGTACCCTGGTAATTAAAGGGAGCAGGTAGCGAATGAGGGTCTCATTACAACTCCTAATAACACCTAATTATCTCTACACCCCTTTTACACTGCACAAGATCATCTAGAAACTCAGCGGGACCCATTTTTATCCTCCTCCCTCCCTCAAAATGCGTCATATTTCAATGATAACCGTCCCATTCATTGTAGAATGTAATTATTAGAATCTCTTTTTTTCTTTTTGATAATTTAAAACCTCAATAGACTACAAACCAATCTTTTCCTGTTGACTTAGTATTGGAAATGAAATATAAGAAAGAAAAAGAAAATGTCTGTTAATATTTTGATTTGGATTTTGTCCCTTTGACACTATTTAATGTATCAGACCATGTGTATCTAAGGATATGAATAGAAAAACTGAGTGTGCCGATTTAAGGTATGATTACATATTGCCTATTACCTGCAGCCTATATGCCTAACTATTACCTGCAGCCTATATGCCTAACTATTACCTGCAGTCTATATGCCTAACTATTACCTGCAGTCTATATGCCTAACTATTACCTGCAGTCTATATGCCTAACTATTACCTGCAGCCTATATACCTTAATATTATATTTATCATATATGCCTAACTAATACCTGTAGTCTTTATGTCATGCCTCCCATTGATATCTCTTGACTGGTAACAGATTGGTCTGTTGCATGTTAGTTGGTCGTTCCTTCTATCTGTATCAGACTTACATGTATGTGGGGTGTTGATAATGATCACCGTTGTTTTGTTCAATCATAACAAGTACAATGGAGGGAGATCACATGTTGGAAACCACACAGAGGACTGTCATTGGGGTCCCGTAACAAACGGGGGCTGTCATTGGGGTCCCGTAACAAACGGGGGCTGTCATTGGGGTCCCGTAACAAACGGGGGCTGTCATTGGGGTCCCGTATCAAACGGGGGCTGTCATTGGGGTCCCGTATCAAACGGGGGCTGTCATTGGGGTCCCGTATCAAACGGGGGCTGTCATTGGGGTCCCGTATCAAACGGGGGCTGTCATTGGGGTCCCGTATCAAACGGGGGCTGTCATTGGGGTCCCGTATCAAACGGGGGCTGTCATTGGGGTCCCGTATCAAACGGGGGCTGTCATTGGGGTCCCGTATCAAACGGGGGCTGTCATTGGGGTCCCGTATCAAACGGGGGCTGTCATTGGGGTCCCGTATCAAACGGGGGCTGTCATTGGGGTCCCGTATCAAACGGGGGCTGTCATTGGGGTCCCGTATCAAACGGGGGCTGTCATTGGGGTCCCGTATCAAACGGGGGCTGTCATTGGGGTCCCGTATCAAACGGGGGCTGTCATTGGGGTCCCGTATCAAACGGGGGCTGTCATTGGGGTCCCGTATCAAACGGGGGCTGTCATTGGGGTCCCGTATCAAATGGGGGCTGTCATTGGGGTCCCGTATCAAACGGGGGCTGTCATTTGGGTCCCGTAACAAACATATATATCAAACAGACACTGATAGGATTCAATACCAGAGATATATGATCATCAGTATTTTCTGGGAGGTAGTGGCTATTACAGCAGTCCATCAATCAAGTCTGCCAGGTTAACCTAACTAGAGCACTTGTTTCATGAGTAATAACATAACATAGGACAATTGTCTATAGAGGTACAGTAGCCTAGGACACTTGTCTATAGAGGTACAGTAGCCTAGGGACACTTGTCTATAGAGGTACAGTAGCCTAGGGACACTTGTCTATAGAGGTACAGTAGCCTACGACACTTGTCTATAGAGGTACAGTAACCTAGGACACTTGTCTATAGAGGTACAGTAGCCTAGGACACTTGTCTATAGAGGTACAGTAGCCTAGGGACACTTGTCTATAAAGGTACAGTAGCCTAGGACACTTGTCTATAGAGGTACAGTAGCCTAGGGACACTTGTCTATAGAGGTACAGTAGCCTAGGACACTTGTCTATAGAGGTACAGTAGCCTAGGGACACTTGTCTATAGAGGTACAGTAGCCTAGGGACACTTGTCTATAGAGGTACAGTAGCCTAGGGACACTTGTCTATAGAGGTACAGTAGCCTAGGGACACTTGTCTATAGAGGTACAGTAGCCTAGGGACACTTGTCTATAGAGGTACAGTAGCCTAGGGACACTTGTCTATAGAGGTACAGTAGCCTAGGGACACTTGTCTATAGAGGTACAGTAGCCTAGGGACACTTGTCTATAGAGGTACAGTAGCCTAGGGACACTTGTCTATAGAGGTACAGTAGCCTAGGGACACTTGTCTATAGAGGTACAGTAGCCTAGGGACACTTGTCTATAGAGGTACAGTAGCCTAGGGACACTTGTCTATAGAGGTACAGTAGCCTAGGGACACTTGTCTATAGAGGTACAGTAGCCTAGGGACACTTGTCTATAGAGGTACAGTAGCCTAGGGACACTTGTCTATAGAGGTACAGTAGCCTAGGGACACTTGTCTATAGAGGTACAGTAGCCTAGGGACACTTGTCTATAGAGGTACAGTAGCCTAGGGACACTTGTCTATAGAGGTACAGTAGCCTAGGGACACTTGTCTATAGAGGTACAGTAGCCTAGGGACACTTGTCTATAGAGGTACAGTAGCCTAGGGACACTTGTCTATAGAGGTACAGTAGCCTAGGGACACTTGTCTATAGAGGTACAGTAGCCTAGGGACACTTGTCTATAGAGGTACAGTAGCCTAGGGACACTTGTCTATAGAGGTACAGTAGCCTAGGGACACTTGTCTATAGAGGTACAGTAGCCTAGGGACACTTGTCTATAGAGGTACAGTAGCCTAGGGACACTTGTCTATAGAGGTACAGTAGCCTAGGACACTTGTCTATAAAGGTACAGTAGCCTACGACACTTGTCTATAGATGTACAGTAGCCTAGGGACACTTGTCTATAGAGGTACAGTAGCCTAGGACACTTGTCTATAGAGGTACAGTAGCCTAGGGACACTTGTCTATAGAGGTACAGTAGCCTAGGACACTTGTCTATAGTGGTACAGTAGCTTATAGGACACTTGTTGTGAGAGTTACATTTTATAAGTTAATGTCTATTAACACTTAAATCCTAGCCTTCTATACATCTGATTGATCTGTCCTACAAACATGCGGAAATACAAATACTTGCTTAACTATAACGATTATGAGATCAACTAGACCTGATTACTGATTTTTTTTTTGAAATCTACAATGATCTTATTTCTGATTCCATGATAATGAAACACAGAACCAGCAGATCTTAGATGTTACCTCAGTGGTAAGGTCACGTGCAGCTCTGCCATCAGGTTTGGGCACATTGGTGCAAACTCATTTGTAGAATGATCAGTTAAAACTGTAAGTTTTTGTGTGTGTTGATAATGGTACAATCCCCTCTGACATCTGGCTCTTCTGACTGTATACCTTATCTGCCTACTGTTATCCAATGTAACAACACCTGTGTACCAAACCTACCATCAACAGGTCGTCTAGTGACAGTTGTGTTCTTCATTGTGTTCGTTACTGTTATCAAGGCCAGGTAAAGGCAGTAACGATCTGCATTCTGTTCTAAACTGTAATTAGTGACACCTAATGTTGGTAGAGAAACAGGTGTGTATGACTTACCTGCTGATAGAGACAGATGAGTAGACTTACAGGTCACTAGAGACAGGTGTGTATGACTTACCTGCTGATAGAGACAGATGAGTAGACTTACAGGCCACTAGAGACAGGTGTGTGTGACTTACCTGTTGGTAGAGAGACAGGTGTGTATGACTTACCTGGTGGTAGAGACAGGTGTGTATGACTTACCTGCTGGTAGAGAGACCGGTGTGTATGACTTACCTGTTGGTAGAGACAGGTGGGTATGACTTACCTGCTGATAGAGACAGGGGAGTAGACTTACAGGCCACTAGAGACAGGTGAGTATGACTTACCTGTTGGTAGAGAGACAGGTGGGGATGACTTACCTGCTGATAGAGACAGGTGAGTAGACTTACAGGCCACTAGAGACAGGTGAGTATGACTTACCTGTTGGTAGAGAGACAGGTGTGTATGACTTACTTGCTGATAGAGACAGATGAGTAGACTTACAGGCCACTAGAGACAGGTGTGTGTGACTTACCTGTTGGTAGAGAGACAGGTGGGGATGACTTACCTGCTGATAGAGACAGGGGAGTAGACTTACAGGCCACTAGAGACAGGTGTGTCTGACTTACCTGTTGGTAGAGAGACAGGTGTGTATGACTTACCTGCTGGTAGAGAGACCGGTGTGTATGACTTACCTGTTGGGAGAGACAGGGGTGTGTGACTTACCTGCTGATAGAGACAGGGGTGTATGACTTAATTCCCTGCCACTGGCGACAGGTGAGACATGTGTGTTAGACTTACCTGTTGGTAGAGAGATAGGTGTGTGTGACTGACATGTCACTAGAGACAGGTAAGACATGTGTGTTAGACTTACCTGTTGGTACAGAGACATACAGGGTCGGGAGAACACAGCTTCAAGCTTCATCACTCCCACCCAACCATACAGGTGTTTCTCGTTCAAGTTTTCATTGCAGATACTCATGGGATGGAGCTGAAACATACAAATACATCTTATTAGGTTTTTTTAGTCGAAAACAAAAGTAGGGCTTCCAATCAACATGGAATTAAAACCTAAACAAGACATATTCTATCTGGTATACTGAAGGACAGGATTTCATTGAAAGGAATTCATAATTAACAAATTTGTAATTGTTTTCCAATATTACAGTAGTTTGCTCTTAAAACTGTCCCGGTACATGTTGTTACAATCTGTACATAATATACCCAAGGTTAGAGCCTTTTACAACAGTTCCACACCAGGTGTACCATACATCTGCTAATGTTCATAGTCAGCGATGAAGTCAGGTTTACACTGACAGAGCTGATCAAATCAAACTTATAAAATCTGCAGTCAGTGACCTTTGTAAAAGTCTGTATATGATATTGTCATGTCTTTATACACATTGTTAAAGCTGTAAAAGATATAACAATAACTTATATCTCATGCTATCACAAGAAAACTTGAGGACATCTGTTTAAACATCTCACCTACTTCATTAACGACACAGACCACTCAAACTGTCCTACAAAAGTCATCAAGTGCTTTATTATTTTCAAATGTGAATTTAAGCAATTAGTACTTTACATTGAAATCAAAGAAGTTGAACCTGACCCTGTGCTTCTAACGAACAGTGCCACTTTTCAAGGAATGAGTATGTTATTCATGAGTAGGAACACTTACATCTCCCTTAAGGACAAAATGAAGGAACATGGTGTGTGGTTGTGTTGTCAATACATGTACAGGTACCGGGACGGAGGATCAGAGTTATAGATGAATTCAGGAGCAGAGGAAGGGGATGACCTTAGAGACAGAGGATGGATTTTATAGGTGAACCAATGGGAAGAGGGTGGGGATGACCCAAGGGAAGGAGGATGGGGATGACCCCAGGGACAGAGGATCAGAGTTATAGATGAATCCAGGGGCAGAGGAAGGGGGTGATCTCAGAGACAGAGGATGGATTTTATAGGTGAACCAATGGGAAGAGGGTGGGGATGACCCCAGGGACAGAGGATGAGAGTTATAGATGAATCCAGGGGCAGAGGAAGGGGGTGACCTCAGAGACAGAGGATAGATTTTATAGGTGATCCAATGGGAAGATGGTGGGGATGACCCAAGGGACAGAGGATGAGAGTTATAGATGAATCCAGGGGCAGAGGAAGGGGGTGACCTTAACAGACAGAGGATGGATTTTATAGGTGAACCAATGGGAAGATGGTGGGGATGACCCAAGGGACAAAGGATGAGAGTTATAGATGAATCCAGTGGCAGAGGAAGGGGGTGACCTTAAGAGACAGAGGATGGATTTTATAGGTGAGCGTATGGGAAGAAGGTGGTGATGACCCCAGGGACAGAGGATGGGATTTATAGGTTAATCAAGACAAAGGGCATATAGGATAACCCCAGGGACAGAGGATGGGGGTGACCCAAGGGAAGGAGGAGGGGGATGACCCCAGGGACAGAGGATGAGAGTTATAGATGAATTCAGGGGCAGAGGAAGGGGGTGACCTCAGAGACAGAGGATGGATTTTATAGGTGAACCAATGGGAAGAGGATGGGGATGACCGAAGGGACAATGAATTGGAGGTTTGTAGGTAAATCCAGGGGAAGAGGGTTGGGGTGACCGAAGGGACAGAGGATGGGAGCTATAGGTTAATCTAGGGCCATACTATAGCTAGTATTGACTTCCCGTATACAAACACTAGTTCCTCTACCACACAGCAAATGACATCATTTCACAACACAGGTAATTCTGGAGACTGTACGTAGCATCTCTCAGATAACAAACTTTTAGCCCGTATCCTTTACTGTACAAATTAATGTGAACGAGGAAGCAATTGATGTCTGCTAGCTATCAGATCACTGCTTTTATATCTCACTTCTATCAGATCACTGCTTTTATATCTCACTTCTATCAGATCACTGCTTTTATTTCTCACTTCTATCAGATCACTGCTTGTATATCTCACTTCTATCAGATCACTGCTTTTATATCTCACTTCTATCAGATCACTGCTTTTATATCTCACTTCTATCAGATCACTGCTTTTATATCTCACTTCATGCTAGCTATGAGATCACTGCTTTTATATCTCACTTCATGCTAGCTATATCAGATCACTGCTTTTATATCTCACTTCATGCTAGCTACCATATCACTGCTTTTATATCTCACTTCATGCTAGCTATCAGATCACTGCTTTTATATCTCACTTCAAAGATTAACTGTCAATTGAATGGATTTGTTTAAACACAGCAGATTTTATAAGAATTTAAATTTCCATTGAGTACATATTGATACACCTCTAATTTTTGTGTATCTTTACCAAATGCAACCTTACACAACAGTGTACATATGTAGGGCTGGCATTCTTTTCTCCGCTTAACACTTAACAATGATGATGTTTAAGGCCTGGTAAGCTTGTCTGCAAAAAGTTAATGATGGCCAGCTTTCATAATCCCTTATACATTAATACCTATTACCTCATATCAAAATATTCTTAACTACAGTATGTACAATAAATCCCTTAATCTGTTATAACTGTTCAATATAGAGTACGAACAAAGAAATGTTTTCAGGTAGACATATGGAGCTGAGCAGGCTGTTTGTCTGCAGTTCACAGGTGTATAGCGTAGTGCTCCATGCGTAATCCCAGTGACAAACAACATTAAGAAATCGTAAAAACGTCTTTCAATAGTAAAAAGCCTGCTCCGTAACACTTACACAAACAATTTCTATGTCATTGAAATTCCATGATAAAAAGCGTATACAACACTCAAGTGTGTTACGTATACAGATCAACTTTTTATGGCTTTGAATCGTGTTTCAATATTGAAATACGCGTTAATATTATCACAGCTTCAGACAAACATAAATCAACATTACGCATAACCAAATTTAATGTCTTCATTAGGGTATTTTTTAAAAAGAAAGTAATATATAACATATCCATGTTTTACCTTTACAAAGGTATGAATACTGGAGAGTTATACAGGTATGTATACTGGAAAGTTATAAAGGTATGTATACTGGAGAGTTATACAGGTATGTATACTGGAGGGTTATAAAGGTATGTATACTGGAGTGTTATAAAGGTATGAATACTGGAGAGTTATACAGGTATGTATACTGGAAAGGTATAATGGTATGTATACTGGAGAGTTATAAAGGTATGAATACTGGAGAGTTATCCAGGTATGTATACTGGAGAGTTATACAGGTGTGTATACTGGAGAGTTATACAGGTATGAATACTGGAGAGTTATACAGGTATGTATACTGGAGGGTTATAAAGGTATGTATACTGGAGAGTTATCCAGGTATGTATACTGGAGAGTTATTCAGGTATGTATTCTGGAGAGTTATACAGGTATGTATATACTGGAAAGTTATAAAGGTATGTAAACTGGAGTGTTATACAGGTATGAATACTGGAAAGTTATAAAGGTATGTATACTGGAGTGTTATACAGGTATGAATACTGGAGAGTTATACAGGTATGTATACTGGAGAGTTATACAGGTATGTATA